CAAATAAAGCTATCCTCGTCCCTGCCCGGCGGAAAGAGGGCCAGAGTCTGAACCCTGAGGGGACTGAGGCATGCACCGGGGGAAAAGCCTGGACGTGGGGCCTATATTCTTCTACCGCTATTGTTTTTTTCTTTTACCACTGTTGGTTTTTTTGAAGATGTAATTTATAAAACCGAAATGGTATCAGAAAGTGTAAGGCAAAATTTCTCAGGCCACCTCCACCAGGCCTCTGGGCAAGCAGTCCCGGTCAGTGCAGAAACAGGGTTGCTGCCCGTTCCCACGGCCCCTTCCGACCCTAACACACACCTGGGACACCTCTCAGCTCCGTGACCTCGGGCACGCCACTCTCGTTGGTCTTGGTGCTTTCACGTGCACATTAACCCACCTTCTTCCTTTTTATCAACAACCCCGTTAAATCGGAAACCACTGCTGTCTCTAATAAAGAGCAGTAAACTGAGCGCCCCAAGAAAACCAGGAGCACTGTGTACCGCCATCTCTTCTCCCTCTTTCCTTTCCTCTACAGCACCATCCCCACTGACCTCTAGATATATCTGCTTGATCACCTTCTCTCCAGCTACATAGAAACCTGCTGGGGCAGCAACTTCTGCCTGCTTTGCTCACCTACTGCTAGACTCCCAGCGCCTGACTGACTGGTACGCAGTAGGTGCTCTGCTAAATCTTCGCCAGGTGTGAATTACCAGCTCCAGTGACCCATCTGGAACCAAGCTAATCCACCACTGACACCACAGCCTGGTAACTGAAGAGCCAGCAACATATTCCAACTTCCCCTCCTCAGCAGGAAGAGGACTGACTAGATGGAGGGGCACTTTAGAAGCCGCTGGAGAGAAGAGGCACGCCAGGTAAGGGAAAACCTTCCGATGGAGTCAAGAATGTGGCTTCACACTGATTCTTGTGTCTTAGAAAGAACGGAAAGAAACTCCAAAGGCCAGTGGCCTCTCACTTCTAAGAGAGAAGTCACGTGATTTCAGAAATGAGATCTCAGCCAAGAACTTTCTGAATTCAGAACTGTGAAGGTTAAACCCAGTTAAAGTAGCATGAGTATGCCAACAATGACAACAAAGGAATGGAAAAATTCCTAGAAACACACAATGTACTGAAGCTGATTCATAAAAGAAACTAAAAAATTTTAATAGACCTATAATTAATAAGGAGACTAAATAAGTTATCAAAAACTTACCGACAAAGAAAAGCCTAGGGCTAAATGGCTTCACTGGTAAGTTCTACCAAACATTTTAAGAAGAATTAACACCAATCCTTCCCAGATGCTTCAAAACCAGTGAAGAGGGAACAGTTCTCCACTCATATTGTGAGGTCAAGCTATACTCTGATTCCAAAGACAAGATGCTACAAGGAAACTACAGACCTGTAACTCTCATGAACACGGACAGGTGCAAAATCCTCAGCCCAATACCTGCAAACTGAATTCAGCAGAGTAAAAGGTTTACACACCATGACCAAGTGGAATGCGAGGATGGTTCAACATGCAACAATCAACCAATATAATAAAACAACAGAAAGAGATAAGAACTACTTGTTCCTCTCCACTGATGAAGAAAAGTATTTGACAACACTCAACTCCCTTTCAAAATAAAAACATTCAATGAACTAAAGATAAAAGGAAACTTCCTCAACATGATAAAAGCCATATTTGAAAAGCCCACATTTGAACATCCCATTCAACAGCATTTCCCTAAGGGCAGAAACAAGAACGGCTGCTTTCACCACTGCTTCTCAACACTTACAGGAACTTCCAGCCAGAACAATTAGGCAAGGAAAAGAAATAAAAGGCATCCAAATTGGAATAGAAAATTATTCTGTTCACAGATGAGATGTTTTTATATGCAGAAACCCAGAAAGTCCACAAAAACTGTTAGAACTAATAAACAAATTCAGCAAAGTTCCAAGATACAAAATCAGCGGAAAAAAATAAGTTGGTTGCATTTCTTTAAACTAACAATGAACAATCTGAAAAGGAAATTAAGAAAACAATCCCATTTACAACAGCACCAAAAAGAATAAAACACTCAGGAATAAATTTAACCAAGGAGGCTAAAGACTTCTACAATGTAAACTACAGAACACCACTGAAAGAAATTAAATAAAGACTTAAGACCTGGCTGGTGTAGCTCAGTGGATTGAGCACGGGCCTGCGAACCACACAATTCAGGTTTGATTCCCGGGCAGGGCACATGCCTGGGTTGCAGGTCAGTTCCCAGCAGGGAACTCATGAGAAGCAACCATACATCAATATTTCTCTCCTCTCCTTCCTCTCTAAAGATAAATAAATAAAATCTTAAAAAAAAAAGAAATGAAAGACTTAAGTAAATGAAAAGATAGCTCATTGACATGGACTGGAAGACTTAAATATTGTTAGGATAGCAAATAATACCCAAAATGAGCTACAAATTCAATGCAATGCCAATCAAAATTTCTTTTTAAAAATTTTTTGTTTGCTTTTATTTTTAGAGAGAGTGGAAAGGAGGGAGAAAGAGAAGGGGAGAAACACTGGCCTGCAACCCAGGCATGTGCCCCGACTGGGAACTGAACCTGTGACCTTTCTGTTAGCAGGCTGGCTCTCAATCCACTGAGCCACACCAGCTAGGGTGCAATCAAAATTTCAATAGCGTTTTCTGCACAAACAGAAAATCCATCCTAAAATTCATATGGAATCTCAAGGAATCCTAAATAGCCAAAACAATCTTGAAAGAAAACTAAGTTGAACTTCTAATTTCAAAACTACAGTAATCAAAACAATGTGGTACTGGAATAAGGGAAGACATACAGACCAATGGAATAGAACAGAGAGCCCTAAGAAAACCCTCACATACAGGGTCTGGCACAAACAACACCCCTCTTTTATTAGAATATCCTGAGCATGTAATTCTGTAACATAACAATATCACATTCAAACACACCATATAACATTTCAGATGAAATGTTCGAATTAAAACTATACATTATTACACTCATATTATTACCCTACCAACCACACTCAAGCAGGTGTTACTCCTGCCAGACCCTATACACAGTCAAATGATTTTCAACAAGGGGTTCAAAACCCACTGAATAGGGAAAGAACAATCTTTTCAATAACTGACACTGGGAAAGCTAGATATTCATACATGAAAGAATGTATTACACCCTTATGTTATGCCATACACAAAAGTTAACTCAGAATGGATCAAAGAACTAAACGTAAGAGTTAAAATTATAAAACTCTTAAAAGAAAATATAGGAAAAAGACAATGATTCATTAGGTACCACACCAAAAGTGGGATCGACAAAAGAAAAAGACAGATAAATTGGACTTTCCCCAAATTAAAAACATTACCAGCAAAGTGAAAAGACAATCTTGGGAATGGGAGAAAATACTGGCGAATCACATATTTGGTAAGGAGTTAATGCAGAATATATTAAGAGCTCCTACAATTCAACAACAACAAAAACCCAATTGAAAAATGAGCAAAGGACCTGCAAAGACATTTCTCCAAAGATACACAAATGGCCACAGCTGCATGAAAAGATGCTCAACATCATTTAACCACTGTGGAAGTGTGAATCAAAACCACAATGTGATACCATTTCACACCCATCCTGATGACTATAATCATCAAAATAACCAGAAAATAACGAGTGTTGACAAAGATGTGGAGAAATTGGAATGTAAAATGACGAGACCCTAAGGTTGTGGATGCTGTCTTGTCCTCTCCTCAAACCCAGTCCCAATAATCTGGGCGCTAAACCCAAGTCAACCACACAGACTGACTAGTGCCACTACTGAAAGGCTAAAGGTTGAGCTTCCTGAGGCCAGGTGTTTTGTGGGTATAATTGTCTGATGGCACTAACAAGTTGCCAACCAAAGCAGATGCCAATCTGGAAAGCTTTCACTATTACTTCCCCCACTTCGCTCTCCCAGAGAACCTCAGCCAGCCATGCAGAAAGTAAACAGGGGCCAGTCTGACCAGCCAGACCAGCCGGATTTTTAAAAATTTGGCAAGTGGAGTCAGTTTCTCACAGATCTAGACACTTAACGTCCTTTGTATGTTGTAGAGTTGAGAACAGAGGTTTTGTCCATTCGACAGGAGCAGAACCAACAATCTCCACCCCTTGATAGTCTCTAGGGCCCTTTCATACATATTATACTGTTAGATCTCAAAATACCCCGGTGAGGATGATTGTGTAGGGGTTGTTATCCTCTACTCCAGACATGAAGAAACCGGGGCTCAAGGAGATGAAGCAATTTGTCCCAAGTCCCACAGCCCCGAACGAAAAGGCCAGGGTTTGCACAGAATTAGTGAACTTAATTGAGTTCTCCTTCCTCTTGAATTACTTCGGCAAGATCAACAGAGTAGAAACGGAATCAGACATTCTGGAATCAGACCAAATGTGTTCTGACACATTTCTTGTGTAAAACAAGAGCAAGAAAAAAATGCTTCGAAATATAGCAACTTATAGGCTTAGAAGGCCCATCCCAGGTAAGTAGGCAGGGAGAAAAACTAAGCGCCCTCCTCTCTCCCTGAGGTCCAACCTGACCTAAAAATGGATCTTTCATTTTGGATTCCTGCTGGGCGCCCAGAGGAGGGTCTACCAGACTCGTGGAATTTCACCAGGGTTCCAAGTGCAAGGAAGGCTGGGTCACGGGGAAACGGAAGATTCAAAGCGTTCAAACGCCAACCAAGTATGCCTAAACCAAACAGCGTCTAAAACGGTAAGTGGCTCTACAGACCCACGAAAAAAACATCCAGTAAGAATCAAACGGTCACTAGCGCCTAACCACTGCCCTGCTACCCACGTTCAGAAAACGGCAACAACCGCCAACACCAGACTCGGTGGGCGGGCGCCGACTCCTCGCGCATGCTCCGGCCACGCGCGCATGCGCCTTCTCAGCAGTTGCCTTTTCTCAGTAGTCCGTACCCCTACTCCTTGTTGATCCGAACCCAGGCTACCTCAGCCCACCGGTTTCACTCCGCATTGCTCACCTTGCGCCCTGTTTTCTCTCGTAGGGCCTTCAGCCGTTCCTTTCGCCGCAACGCTTCTTCCTCTAGCCGGCCCACACCAGCTGCAGAAGCAGCCATCTTGCCCGCCAACCCCCTCCTCTTCCCTTGTATTCCACCGCGCAAGCCCAATGAGTAAATGACTCTCACAGCCAATCCAGGGACGAAAATGAGAGAGTAGGAAGTCCTGAAAGCCAATCAATGCTGAGTTGCTATAGGAGGGCCCGCCCCCTTCCCCTACTGCAACTCGTCTAGGGAGTAGGAGGCGGGCAAAGCTGTAAGGCCTGATGCGTCCAATGCCAATCAATGAGAAAGCAGCAAGTGGAATAGACCTAAGTGAAGGAGGATAGAGCGCGTCGATCGATCTGGGTTTGCCTAAGCGCTGACCACAGCTCGCTCCATGCCCACGACTTGGAATGCGCTGACTCAAACATTGTCCACTTCTTCTGATTCTTCAAGGCTCGAATGCCTTCAAGAGAAGCCTTTTCTGACTTGCCACTCTGAACCCAGCCAAATAAGACGTCTATCTCTCCCTTCGTATCCACCTATTAGTGGCTCCTTGGGTGTCCATAGGTCCCAAGGCCCTTCTGTATCCACTCTCAGCTCAAACAAAGCCTGCACAGTGCAGGGCTAGCCTGGATGACCATTTCCCTTCGGGCTCATGGGTGATTCCCTACCACCTCCAACACCCCTGAAGTGGCAAAATACCCAGGGTCAGCCTACCTAAACTAACCTAACCTGTAGAAGAGCATTCCCCAATCTGGGCCTAGTGGGCCCCAAGAAACCTCTGGAGCTTAGTTCCTGAGAACTAAGCCGAGGGCTGGTTTGGCCTCAACTGCACCCGATGGCCACCAGATGCACTGCTCCCCAGCAGGAGCTGCGAGGGTCTTTCTTTCCTGCATTAATCAGCATTCCCTGACAACTGACAGACCCCTTTGGCTGAGGTCCAGATATCTTGACAGCATATTGGGGTCCCCAAAGCCCCACCTCCTCCCACCTGAGGAGAAAAAGACCCCTTTGCCACACATCTTCATCTTGCTTCCCCAAAACGACCTTCTTAACTTGGACCTTTTGGTACCCTATCCCCTGCATCAGGGGGGTGCCCTGCTAAGGGCCTGGTATGAAGGGAGTGGGTACTTAAGAAATGTCAGCTCAGTGGTAGGATGGATGGGGCGGGAGAAAAGGCCAAAGTGGAGGGGCTGCCTAAAAAGCCAGGACAGAGCAGGATGGGGTTGCGGGCAGAGTCTGTCTTCCCATCGTCTAGGGGGCTGGTCAAGTCCTACAACCTCTTGACTAGACAACCAAGCCCTATAACCTTTCTGAGCCCCACAAACTTCTCCCCAGCCCCAACAAAGGGCCTGACCTCTGCCCAACACAAGGGGGCTCCCTCACCTCCCAGGCGGGCCTGAAAGGTAGATCCAGAGAAAGAGCCTAGAGTGCATGGTGGCAGTGGCCCAACAAAACGTTAGTCCGGCTTCTGTCTCTGGGTGCCCAGGTAGTCCTCATCTGGCCCATCTGGGAATCGGTTTCTCCTACTGTAAAACAAAGGCATGAGGCACCCTCTGGCCTTTACCGTCTTAAGGTTAAAGAAAACAAAAGATGTGAAATAAGTGCTGAACCCTGGAGTGGAGGGTGCTTTCTCTAAAGCAACTAGGAAAGCTTCCTGGAGGGAAGCACCGCCGACGATTGGCTAAATCTCCCAGGGATCTGCCCGACAGATGGAGGGCACTGCTCTTCCCATAGTTTATTTCAGGATTGTTCTGCTGTTCTCTGATCCCCATCCTGCTCCACAAACAGTAGGTGCAAAAAGTGCCACTTCGGTCTCCTTACAAAGCGCTTAGAACAGCACCCGCCATGTGGTAAGCTCTACAAGTGGTCGTCATGGTTAATGTTATCATTACTTGTTGAAGGACCCTGGACACTGTCCGCCGCTCACTGCTCCTTCCCCTCACCCCGCGAGCCTTTCCCTTGCACGAAGGGCGGCAATTCCAGCCGGGCGGGCTGAATCCCAGGCGTATCTGTACCCAGAGCAGGTCTGGAATCTCTGACCCCGACAATCTTCAGGGCTCAGATTGGCGCTTTCCAAGGCACTGGTAGGGGGCGGACTGCGGAGGGCGGGGTTATGGAGTGCCCTCCAGGGCCTTCAGCACCTCCTTCCGCCCAGCTCCCCGCCCTTTGCACGGTCCTAGGAGGGGCGGGGCGGCGGTGGCAGCAGCTAAGTGCAGGAAGCCGGGCGGCGGTCGGCGGGAGGAGGGGCGTGCAGATCTGGGTGGCTCAATGCGGCGGGGGCCAGTACTACTTACCCCAGTAGTACCGCGCCGCTCCGCCCCGGAGTGACGCCCTCCGCCCATGGGCCTGGCCGAGGGCAACCGGCGGGCGGCGCGGAGGAGGCGGCGGCGGCAGGTGGCGCGCAGCAGGGCCGGAGCCGGGCCGGGCCATGGCCGCCTCCGAGCGGCTCTACGAGTTGTGGCTGCTGTACTACACTCAGGTGAGGCTGCCCCGCCCAGCGCCCGCCGTGCCCCCAGCTCCGCGCGTCCCGTGCCTACTGCACCTGCACGCGGCGCCGCCGGGGCAGCGTAGATTCGCGCGCGCTGGCGGTGCTCGGGCTCCGCACACACCCGTGCGCCCCAGCTCTCGGGTGCCACTGGCACTTACGCCTGGGGAACTATCCTCGAGGGCGCGCACTTCATAAGAACCTCTTGGATGGGGACCGCGCAGCGTCAGTCTTTCGGGAGAAGGACTTTGACCATAACTGCCCGGCACTTCCCTTTTTACAAATTGGGAAACTGAGGCCCGGAAACAAAATGAAAGATTGGCGTGGGGTCGGGAGGAGCCGAGAGCCTTAGTTTGCATTTGGTCTTGCCCCTCCTGTGGGTGTGGTCAGGCCCCTGGCCCCCGAAAGAGCTGGGGGTGTGCAGCCGAGGCGTCCCTACTGCGAGTCGACTCGAGTCAATTCTGACACCACCCCTTCCCCAGAGAACCGGCAGTGATGAGCTGCGGCCCCGGGCCCCGGGTCCAAGTCCAAGAAGACATTTGCCTTAGATGCAGAGCGTGGTGGTAGAGGGGCGAGCTAGGACGAATGTCGCAAGGGGATGGAAGGATGCCCTTTCCTCCTGAGCTCCTTGTCATGTCTCAGAGGCTACCTCAGGTGGCCTCGAAGGTGAAGACAGTGACTGACCCAGGTGTCTGGGTCTGTCAGAGCCGAGAACCTGGTGTCTCTGGAACTCCGTGTTTCATGCACATGGGCCCCCACTTTTCTCCTGCATCCACCACAGGAAGGAATCCCTGGGTAATGTCCCCTCCCCTTCTCACCCAGCACCAGCCTCCCTCCCTGCACCTGCTTGGCATCTTGCTCCTGGCTCAGGTGTGCCCTGGGTACAATGGACTATTGTATGCCTCTGATCCTGTCACGGTGGTGGTGGGGGGGGGAGTTCATGCTCAGATGGCCCTCTGTGGAGAGGCTGCTCAACTGTCTCCCAGGACTACAGGCCATGTCTGGGGCCCCAGGGACCTGGAATCCAGGCCATAAGGGCCACAGCTTCCTGAGTCCACTCAGATGTCCAGAGTTCCAGGTCCCTGGCAGGAGGTACTGTGTGGAGTAGAGTCCTTCTGTGGTGTGACCCCGGGGAAGCTCTGTACTTCTGAGCTTCCCTGTCTGAAGTTCGGCACAGCCCTGAACTCAGGAGTGGCCTGTGTGGCCTCTGCAGAGCGGTAGTCAGTGTGGCTGGTCCGGCCGGAGAAGGCCCCTGCGTCCCTGGCCCCATTGGGTTCCCTTACCCCAAACTCTGTCTTCATCTCCAAGGGTTGGTCTTTGTAAAGGAGCGAAAGACCTAGAAGGAAACCTGCCCCTGGCCCTCATGCCTCTGATTGCCCCTGTGGCCATGGGTCCTCAGTTTCTTCACCTGTGACCAGGCGATGATGAGTCTGAGGGATGTTAATGATGTGTCAGCAGGCTGGGTGGCATGCGGCTTGGGGAGGGTGCGTCCCGCTACCCCTTCTAGATGACCTCTGCAGATGGTCAGCCCCCCTATTCCCTCAGGAGGTGTTCAGCACTCCTCTGTGCTGATTCTCCACCCCCCCCAGCTCCTCACGGTGGGGGGGCAGGTATGGGGCACAGGCTGGCTGGCTGTAGTCTTGGATGCCTGGATGGGGGGGGCGGGTAGCCTGGGGCCTAGCAAACAAATCCAGGATGTGAGTGTGAACTGGGAGCCAGGCGGGGCTGGGCCGCCGGGGGAGAGGAAGCTCAGCACAGCCTTCCTGCCCACTCGGTGCTGCTCCTGCTCCCGGAACACTGTCCCCACCCCTGCATGCGGCTCTGGGGAGCGGCGGCTTTGCTGCTTGGAGCCCTGCTAGGGACCGAGTGTGTGTGTACTTGCGGGGAGGGGGTGAGCCAAGGTAAAGGGTTGAACTGATAAAGGGTTTTAAGAGACCCCTGAGTTGGCCAGCCACTCAGCCAGCAGACTCCTCCAGCACCTGTGCCCCTCCCTTCAGAAGTGAGAGCTGACATCAGCTGGCAAACCTGTTTCCCCAGTTGTGGGTCTTGGCCCGCCCTAGGGAGTAACCCCCTTTCTGCCCTTCCTTTCCCCTCACAAATCCCAGATTCAGGCCCCCCACCCCCTACCCCTACGGGGCCCCAGCGGAGGAGGAAGCTGTGGGTGGCTCCTGAAGGAGGGAGAGTGCCACATCATTCAGTCTGAGTCCCTCGGGGTCCTCATGGAGGAACCAAGGCAGGGTCATACCAAGGTCATTAGACAAGTTTGGGGCAGAGCCCAGCAGAGCCCCTGCCCATCCTCTATCCTGGGCTCCTTTACCCAGGAAAGGTCTAGACCTGTAGGCAGGAAGCCTCAGGTGGGGCGACGCAGGCTGTTCTCTCCACGTGGAGCCTCCCCTCCCCTTCCCCAGACCAAGCCAGACCTCCCCAGAGTGCTCCCCTTTTAACCCTTATTGTGTTGCTATTCTGCAGTTCCCCAGCACCTCACATTTAGCAGGGGCTCCCTCAGTTCAGCTGAATGGCTGGACAGAGGAGAGAGCCACAGCAGTGATCAATCAAGGAAGCCATGCCAGAGGCGACAGGAACAGTGGGACAAGAATATGACAGTGGAGTGAGGGGGAGGCCTGGG